TTATCGTTCACACAAAACTACGACAGAACTCTGCTGATTAATCAGGAAATAGAACCAGAGGACAGTTGGTTTATGGAGGAAAACCTGCTGCTGACCAGGTTAGCTCTATGGAGAATGTTACCATGGCAACAGAAACAGAGGATGAGGAAACCCTGCGTTCAGGATTAGAAAACTGAAGAGTTTTCAGTAAACCCGCCATGTTAAACGGAGCTCTGGTGTCCCGCACCTTTGAGACGCGTCTCTGCTTCAGCATCTCTGGGAAAGTGGGAGAGTTAAAAAAAGAACATCCCAGTTCTTTACTGGAGCTGGTCCGCTAGTTTAACCATTTAATTCAGGTGTTTAGAAAAATGGACTCCAAACCTGTGCCCTCAGCTGCCCTTCCTGTTTTCTAAATTACTCACACTGACCTCCTTCTGTTCAGCCTTTGCGTCTGAGACGACTGCTCTGAGGAGTCCAATCAGCTGATAGGCCTGTCAGCTTCATGGGCCTCACTGATCCCTGAAAACACTTCTCCTCCTGATTCTCCCATTTTCAGCCTCCTCTAGCAGAGCCAGTAGATCCAGCATGCAGCCATCACATGGCTATGTTTACAGTCATCAGCGTGAATAGCTGACCGCTTTATACCTTCATCTCACCCTGTTGAGGAATGTGAGGAAAAAGGTTCCATGTTGGAAAGACTTCCATTCAGAATGCAAATTAACTTCTAGCTCTTTCTTTCATCCAGGTGACAGGCCCTCTTTATAGTTACCAGTGTGAGCACATATAACACTACGAGTTTTATTGCTTATTGTGAAATCAATTCATTTCAATTCAATTCATTAAGCAAATTAACCTAACAGTCAATGTTTTGGACTGTGGGAGGGAGCGGGAGTACCCGGAGAGAACCCACACATGCTCAGGGAGAAACATTCAAACTCCATGCTGAAAGACCCCAGGCAGGGAATCAAACCTGCAACCTTCTTGCTGCAAGGCTTTGCATGAGCATGTAGAGGTGGTAGATATTCTCATGCATTGTGTCATTGACCCTACAGCAATCCCTCAAACCAAGCATGCAGAAGG